CGAAGCGGAGCTGGGGCGGCTGCGGCGGGAGCTGGAGGAGGCGGCGCTGCGGCACGAGGCCACGGTGGCTGCGCTGCGGCGCAAGCAGGCGGAGGGCGCGGCGGAGCTGGGGGAGCAGGTGGACAGCCTGCAGAGGGTGCGGCAGAAGCTGGAGAAGGAGAAGAGCGAGCTGCGCATGGAGGTGGACGACCTGGCTGCCAATGTGGAGACTCTGACCCGCGCCAAGGTGTCCACACCTTCCTCACCCCATACCCACCCTGACTTTAAACCAATCCCAACCCCAGCAGCCAATACTGTCCCCATACTCCCTCCACCCGGTACCTGATCCTGAGCCCTGACCCATTCACCTGGCACCCAACCCCCTTTTCTCAGCCTCCTGCCAGTCCTGACCTTAAGCCATGACTCCCAAGCCCTGTTCCCTGACTCCAGGTCATTTTTGACGCAGCATCTACTTCCAGCCTTGGACCCTTGAACCAGCAGTAGTTGTGACCCCAGCCCTTGACTCCTGAACTCTGACTTAATACCTGTCCTGACTTCCTGTTCTGAACCCCAGCACCCTAGCCTTGACCTTTCTGCCACATAATCCTGACAGCTGACCTCTGACCACTGTTGCCAGCTGACTCCACAGCTACCATCCCAACTCTCGCCCTGACCCACCGGCCCTGGGGCTGGCCCAGCCCTGTCCATTCTGACACGTGTCTGTTAAGCCCAGCAGTAGAATCTCTTTCCCTGACTTTGAACTTGGGGCTCTGCTCTCCCTTTGATTCCTGGGCCCACATTTAGCTTACCAGTTTCTGATCCCAGATCCCAGTCTCTGACTGGCAGACCCAGATCCTGCCCTCTGATATACAAACTTGTTCTGACATCTGACCCCTGCCCCCAACCTGGGATCCCAGGCCAGTGCAGAGAAGCTGTGCCGCACCTATGAGGATCAGCTAAGTGAGGCCAAGATCAAGGTGGAGGAGCTGCAGCGGCAGCTGGCGGACGCAAGCACGCAGAGGGGGCGACTACAGACGGAAAGCGGTGAGGCTGGGGCTCAGCTGGCCACACCAGGCAGGGCTTTGGTGCAGCCCTCGCCAACCTGACCTGCCCGCTCGCCTCTTCGCCTGCAGGGGAGCTGAGTCGCCTGCTGGAGGAGAAGGAGTGTCTGATCAGTCAGCTGAGCCGTGGGAAGGCCTTGGCTGCCCAAAGTCTGGAAGAGTTGCGGCGCCAGCTAGAGGAGGAAAGCAAGGTGGGCTGGCACCGGTGATCATAGAGTGGGCAGGTGGGCGCCAGAGCCACTGGGCTGCACCAACGCTGAGGTCACTGGTGTCCCTGCAGGCCAAGAGCGCCTTGGCCCACGCTGTGCAGGCTCTGCGGCATGACTGTGACCTCCTGCGGGAGCAGCACGAGGAGGAGGCTGAGGCCCAGGCTGAGCTGCAGCGGCTGTTGTCCAAGGCCAATGCCGAGGTGGCCCAGTGGAGGAGCAAGTACGAAGCAGATGCCATCCAGAGGACCGAGGAGCTGGAGGAGGCCAAGTGAGTGCTTTGCTGGCCAGGCCCCTGCCATGCAGAGCTTTATGCCTGTGCCTCTGAGCCCCACTGAGGGTGGGCGAAGGGAGCTGCTGGGGCTGTCCTCCCTCCCTCCATGGTCCACAACTTGTCTGGCCCCACGGCCTAGAAAAAAGCTGGCACTGCGGCTGCAGGAGGCAGAGGAGGGCGTGGAGGCTGCCAATGCCAAGTGCTCGTCATTGGAGAAGGCCAAGCTACGGCTGCAGACAGAGTCAGAGGATGTAACCCTGGAGCTGGAGCGGGCGACCTCAGCAGCTGCTGCGCTGGACAAGAAGCAGCGGCACTTGGAACGGGCACTGGAGGAACGGCGGCGGCAGGAGGAGGAGATGCAGCGGGAGCTGGAGGCAGCGCAGAGGGAGGCCCGTGGCCTGGGCACTGAGCTCTTCCGGCTGCAGCACAGCCACGAGGAGGCACTTGAGGCCCTGGAGACGCTCAAGCGGGAGAACAAGAACCTGCAGGGTAGGACCTGCCACACACCAGGGCCAGGGCACTGCCCTGGGGTCAGAGCACCTTGGAGTCACAGGGGTGCCCTGGTGGGGCCACCCTGGAATCAGGGGTGAGTGGAGTGACCTGGGTGGGAGTACAAGCCATGGGGGTGGCCCCTCAGCACCCTGTCCACTGCAGAGGAGATCAGCGACCTCACGGACCAGGTGAGTCTCAGTGGGAAGAGCATCCAGGAACTGGAGAAAGCCAAGAAGGCGCTGGAAGGCGAGAAGAGTGAGATCCAGGCTGCACTGGAGGAGGCAGAGGTCAGGGGCTGGCCGCAGGGGTGGGTGGACACTGACGTGCTGCTCTGCTGGCTGTCCCCCCTTCCCACCCCACCATGCCTGCTCTGTATCCGCAGGGGGCCCTGGAGCTGGAGGAGACCAAGACGCTGCGGATCCAGCTGGAGCTCTCCCAGGTCAAAGCAGAAGTGGACCGGAAGCTGGCAGAGAAAGACGAGGAATGCGCTAACCTGAGGTGTGTCCATCCTCCTCCCGCTCCCACCTCCTGAGAGCAGAAGGGAAAGGAAGTAGTGTGTACTCTGCTCTCTAGTCTGCCCCTCCCATGGGACTTTCTGAGGTCCGGGTTGCTATCTCCATTAGAGGTGAACCTTGGAGACGCTGAAGGACTTGCCCAAGGTCACACAGTGGGGGTGGAGCCAGAGTCAGTCCACCTGTCCGCCTGGGCCTCACTCTTCTCCACGAACTTACTCTGATGGGCCACAGGCAGTCACAAGAGACTTTAAACTGGGAAGGGGTGACTCAGTTGTTCTCAAAATGGGTTCTTGTCTCCAACGGTCCTTGGGCATTTGTAAGGACAGATATGCCCTTACGGGACCCCCCTTCATGCCACCCTCCTCCCATAGGCGCAACCACCAGCGAGCTGTGGAGTCCCTGCAGGCCTCCCTGGATGCAGAGACACGGGCCCGCAATGAGGCGCTGCGGCTCAAGAAGAAGATGGAGGGTGACCTCAATGACCTGGAGCTGCAGCTGGGCCATGCCACCCGCCAGGCCACGGAGGCCCAGGCTGCCACGCGGCTGATGCAGGCACAGCTCAAGGAGGAGCAGGCAGGGCGGGACGAGGAGCAGCGGCTGGCAGCTGAGCTCCGCGAGCAAGCACAGGCTCTAGAGCGCCGGGCTGCGCTGCTGGCTGCGGAACTGGAGGAGCTGCGGGCTGCTCTGGAGCAGGGCGAGCGCAGCCGGCGGCTGGCAGAGCAGGAGCTGTTGGAGGCCACCGAGCGCCTCAACCTCCTGCATTCGCAGGTGGGGACAGGAGTCCCTGGGGACAGAGCAGGTGCAGGCCTGTTGGCTGGCTCTGAGACTCTGCTTCCCCTCAGAACACAGGCCTCCTGAACCAAAAGAAGAAGCTGGAGGCAGACTTGGCCCAGCTGAGCGGGGAGGTGGAGGAGGCTGCACAGGAGAGGCGGGAGGCTGAGGAGAAGGCCAAAAAGGCCATCACTGATGTGAGGCTGGGCAAGGGCTGTGGGAAGCCTGGGACAATGCAGAGGGACTCCCTGAGGCGGGGCACCTGACCAGCCCCTTCTCCCCCAAAGGCAGCCATGATGGCCGAGGAGCTGAAGAAGGAGCAGGACACAAGCGCACACCTGGAACGGATGAAGAAGACACTGGAGCAGACAGTGCGTGAGCTCCAGGCCCGCCTTGAGGAGGCGGAACAGGCCGCCCTCCGTGGCGGGAAGAAGCAGGTGCAGAAGCTGGAGGCCAAGGTGTGTGCGGCCCCTCTAGTCCTTGGCCCAGGCAGGGTGGGTGACCCAGGGGTGGGCTGGGCAACAGGCAGTACCCTTGCCTGCAGGTACGGGAGCTGGAGGCCGAGCTCGACGCAGAGCAGAAGAAGCACGCTGAGGCCCTTAAGGGCGTGCGTAAGCATGAGCGCCGCGTCAAGGAGCTCGCATACCAGGTGGGTAACAGGGTCTCCCCGGGGAGTGGCCCTGGAGCTGGCCCAGCCCAAGCAAGCCCTGAGTCCCCCTTGCCTGCCCAGGCCGAGGAGGACAGGAAGAACCTGGCTCGCATGCAGGACCTGGTGGACAAGCTGCAGAGCAAGGTCAAGAGCTACAAGCGCCAGTTTGAGGAGGCGGTGAGTGTGCTGGGGCCTGGAGACCTGGACCTGGCACCCCAGCTCTGCCCCAGGGTCTGTGGCCAGGTGAGGCATCAGCAGCAGCTCCACCCTCCCGGCTCAGTGACCCAGAAGGAAGAGAGAAGCTTCTAACATCTCTGGGGAGATAGACCTAGCTCTGTCTCACAGAACAGACCCCACGTGCTTTCCCCTGGCCAAGGCTGGAGTTGCCTCTGAGGGGCGGGGCAGGCACAGAGGCACATCATGAAGTTGGTGCGTCCCAACTTCCTTATTCCCACTGTGGTATTAGTGAGGATGGACAATGGCAGTAGGAACAAAGTTGAGGACCAGGAGGAGCCAGCTCCCTTACTGGGGATGGGGCAGGGACCAGAATAAGCATCTCAGTCACTGAAGAGGAGCCAAGGCCGTGTGTGTGCCCCCAGGAGCAGCAGGCCAACACCAACCTGGCCAAGTATCGCAAGGCCCAGCACGAGCTGGATGACGCGGAGGAGCGGGCAGACATGGCGGAAACCCAGGCCAACAAGCTGCGGGCACGGACCCGGGATGCCCTGGGTCCCAAGGTGAGGAGTGGTGGGGGCATTGCTCTCTGTGCAGGGGGAGTGTGGGGGATGACAGGTAGTACTGCTCATTCAGCTATCCCTTTCTCCTCAGCACAAGGAGTGAAGGCCCGAGCCACTGGGCTCTCAAGAGGAATGTCTGCTGTTGTGCCTCTGGCTGAGACCATCTGCCCCAATCCTGCCATCTCTGCATCCCCCATGCTGCCTTCAGCCTTCCCCGGGCCCTGAATAAACACCACAGCCAGTTTCCTTCTCATTCTTTGGGGTTCAGGAGGGGAAAACACAGCCCTAGGGACAAAAGCCAGGTCCACAGCAATCATTTAAAATAAAGTTATTTAATAGTCTCCATTTAATTGGTTTATTTGCTGTTAATAAATTGGCAACACAAGGAAGGGCCCCGTGTCCAGGCTCAGGCAGGAGGGGCTGCCCCGTGCCACAAGGGATGGAGGGAAGGCTCCCCCCCCACTTCTGGGAGAACCTCCTGGGATGAACACAGCGGCCAATGAGCAAACAGAACCAGAGGAGCTAAAAGAAAATGAGGCAGAGGGGCAGGCTTGGGGGAAGGCAGCATTCTCTGGTACCCACCACCCCTGCCCAGGGCTCAGAAGCCTTTGCCTGGGTCCAAAGGCCAGGGACAAGGGAGGCTTGGCTCACAGATGGGGGGTCACCCATGTCTTCCTCCCCACCCCGGGACTGATGGCCAAGAAGCCGGCAGGAGCTCACACAGAGCTAATGCTAAAAGTCCTCTTACCTCTGGGTGGGCCTGGGCCCCAGGGTTCTGAAGGAAAGGTGGGCATGGTACCCCGTCCTCATTATGGGGACTGAGGCTCTCCAATGACCTGGGGCTCTCAGACCCAGGGGGACCAAGGGCTTCTAGGACTTCCCTCCCACCAAGCCTGTATCCAAAGACCTGGGGCAGGCAGAGAGCAGCAGGGAGAAACGGGAACAGGGCAGGGCGTGTGGCATCATACCCACGCTCACCCACACTGGCCCAGCAGCCTCCCGAGGCCTGGCCCAAGGTCACTCCTCAGTGAAGTCCCTGTCTATGTCCATGTAGGGCTCCTCAATGTAGCTAACGAGGGCAGAGGGTGACTGCCGGTCCGGGTTCAACAGGATGGACACTGTCTCTTTCCAGTATGAGAAGCTGATGCAGGAGCTCTGGGCAAAGAGGGAGGGGCTGGGGGGCGCCTGGAGGACCCAGGTCAAGCCCAGCACCGGGACACCCCTCAGGCCCTGGGTCTGCTGCCCACCCATCACCCCCTTGAGGGGTGGGGCACTCACGTTCTCTAGGCAGGTGCTGTCCTTGTCCTTGTGCAGGTAGTGCTGCTGCCAGAAGCGCAGCAGGTTGTGGAAGTTGTTGAGCAGGAAGCCGGGGTACTTCTTGCTATGCTCCATCCGCTGCAGCAGCCGCAGGTACAGGGGCAGTCGCTCTTTCCGTCGGGCCAGCATCAGGATTACCAGGCTGGTGTTGAGGCAGCTGACATTCTCCTGCAAGGCCACAGGCCCACCAGGTCAGGGGCTGGTGGGAGCCCCAGTGGCCCCTGGTGAACCTGGGCAACCATCAGGCAGGGAGGAGAGTGGCCCCAAGCCTCGGGCCACCCATGGAGCTCTCCCTGTGCAGACGTGAAATAGGACTAGGGGAAGGGGGCCCCCAGCAGCCCCAGTCTCCTGCCTGAGCACCTTCCTGCTCCCCACACCCACTTCCCACCCCACCTGAGGGCAACAACATCTGTCCCTGTCCAGACCTCGGCTCAAGCATCACTCCTTCCGGAAGGTCCATCCCAGGCAGGGCTGGGTGCGTGTGCTGGGGCGGCTATCCCGCTTCAGAAGTGCCTGTCAGCACTAGCCTGTGCACCTTGGAGGGGCAAGAGTTCTGCCCCACTCACCATGCACTCTCACCTGGCGCCTCACCTCAGAACAGAACCAAAGACCACCTCTGAGAGGTGCTAAGACCACCCCCACTTTAGAAAAGAGGTGCATGAGGCTCAGAGAAGGGAAGGCTGCATGACTTCAGTGAGGGAGTTGGGCAGCCTCAGGTCCGACTGTGAAGCCCAGCAGGGCAGAAGGTGTGAGGGATGTGGACATGGGGGAGGCGGGAAGAGCGCTGGCCTGCGAGTCAGCCTGTGACCTGAGGGGACTTGCGAACCCTCCTTACGCCCTGTCTGTACAATGGGGCACTGATTCCTCCTGAGCACAGTCCTCAGAAGAGCTGGGTCTCCAGAGATGCATTTCTGGAGTCGGGGACAGAAATCTAGGCTCCAGGACAAAGGAACTGGTTTCCAATCGACCTTCCCTGCTGTGTGTTTGCCGGGGCCTCTCACCTGGGTCAGCGTCTGCACGTGGATGATGTTGATGAGTCGGAAGAGGAAGGACATCTGTGTGGGTACCTGGGATATGTAGGCAAGCAGGCGGCACTCGGACAGGACCTCGGCAACTGTGGAGGGAGGCGGGGGTGCAGCAGGTCAGGCTTAGGCCCAGTGGCTTGGTCGCCCAGGCCTCTAGTGGAGCCCCGTTTGAGTCCTGACTCTGAAGCTGGGGGCTCATCATCAAAACAGCTTCAATGAAAGCTGACTGCGGCAAGAAGAGGAACCTCCAGCTGTTCTGCCAGCAGGCAAAGCCGTGTTCTCAGAGCGCCCAGAAGCACACCACCTCATCCTCCAGAACCAAGCTCAGGGCAGCTCTCCCTCAGCCCTCCCTAGGCTGGCTCCAGACCCCTGCCCTCCATATCACACACAGGAGAGTTTCCGCCACAGCAAGATGGATCCATGATGCTGCATTAAGAAAACCAATGCAAAAGTTCAAATCCTCCTGCAGAGCTCCTAGCGCAACTGGTTTTCCACACCAGCTCTCAGGTGAGTCCGGCCCAGACTGAGACCACAAGGCACAGGTTCTGCTCTGGCCACTAGTGTCGGAGCAACTGCTTCCCGCACAATTGGGAGGCGGGGCAATAGCTGAAGGTACCAAAATCTGGGTGGCTGTTCCCCTGAAACAGACTCTCTGGAGCAGAAAAAGGAGGCAAACGGCTAAATTACCAACTACCAGGATACTTCTTGCTATCAATGACAGTGACCTAGACAAGGAACAAATGCCTGACTTTTTGGGGGGTGGGGGGGTCAAAAACCCTCAAGAGAATCTGCTGGATGCCACAGGCCCTCTCCTAGGAAAAAAAGGAAATGTGTGCACATACACATGGAAGTGCGTTGGCAAGTCCAGGAGGGTTCAGATGCCTGCTGCACCACAGGGCACCTGTAATTCCACGCACAGCACACTGGGGACGAGGGGGCCAACTCATCGTGCCAGGCAATACCAGTCCAAAAGGCCTTTTTCTGTTTTTTGCATCTTGCTAACAACAATGGATTTTCACCTTGTTAAAGTGTTGAACAAGGCAGCAAAGTGAATTGCCCTGGGAGCCGCCACCTCGAAGCCGGCCACGTGGGCGTCTGGCGCAGCTCCCTCAGTCATTCTTGTCTCCCTGCTGGAGACAGGGTGTCTGATGCCAGCGTTCTCACCCTGCGTGACTTGCCTTGACAGCCTGCCTTTCATGTACCTTTCATATCCACCTGGTTTTCAAATCGGTCCAGGGACAGAGTGACACAGCGCACCAGCATGTTGGAGTCCACCAGGGAGCTGTTGATCTGCTTCAGGAACACCTGGAACTGTATAGAAACTAAGCTCACAGCAGGCAGTGGGCTGTTGGCCAGGGATGGCCATGGCCCGGGGGGACAGTCACTACAAGGGGCATCAGTGACCTCCACCAGCCCCACTGCTTCAGATAGGAAGACAGAGGCTCAGATAAGCTGAGGGACCTCCCCTCACGACCCAGGTACTAAGAGGCACCCCCTGGAGTTCAGCACAGATCCGACACTCTGTCCAGTGGTTTTACACTCAAGGGTGCTGGATTCCTCTAATTTTTACTTCTAATTTTACTTCAGCTAGCCTCAGCTGGGTTTCTGTCACACACACCTGCTGAGCCTAACACACCAGGCCCAGTCCCTCCCTACAGCAGCTCCCACTGTGGCACCCACCATGCTGCGTCACGGCAGGCGCACAAGCCGCCCATTCCCACCCTCACTCCCTACCCACAAGCAGCCCCGGTTTTCATCCCTGCATTCCCAGGGGCTAGCACAGAGCCAGGCAGAGCAGGTTCCGATGAATGTTTGCCAAAGACTGCCCAGACTCTCCTGTCATCTCTCATTTAAAACTGTGCCTAAAGACTGGCAGAGCAGGACTACAAGGGAACTGCTGGACAACCTAGCACACTCTGCAGAGCCCGAGGTTAACTTTACCTTTGCATCGGTGTTGATGTATTTATTGAATCTCTTGAATGCATCAACGTTGAACTTCATCAGCTCCCCCAGGAGGTCAAAGTAACTCTGGAGCACATCCCTTGACTTGCACTCGCTGTCCACAATGCAGTAGAGGATGTGCTGGGTGAGGAGGGACAGGGTGAAGGTGTGAACGTGGCTACCCACACCAGGGCCTGGAATGGAGCTCAGACCATGCATTGGCTTCGAGCAAGCATCCTGGGGATGGAACCTGCAACCCCGTCTAGATTCTTGTCTGAGAATGCTGGTGGCTCCAAGGACAGGCCCAGGCCTGACAGACCTCACCAGGAGGCAGAACAGACTGGGAATGTGGCACAATCTCTCCCCTGCCCAGGGCGTACAGCTGAAGCCTGTGGCCTGCACTGTGGTCACCACGATGGCCGGGGTACTCAGCTCCTAGGTGAGTGGAGTTGTCATCACCAGGCCTAAAACATGGCCACTGCCTAGGCACTGAGGTCATTCAAGTAAATGAAGGACAGAATTGAAAAGCAAAGGACACACTTTGACCCCACGGCTCGTCTTTGTGTTTCTGAGCAAAATTGTTTAAAGTTTACCCCAAAATATTGAGTTTTCATCAAGAGAATAAAGCCAATTTACTCCTTTGTAAAGTTTTCTACATTTTCTTGGCGTTAACATTGATTTGGTCAGTTCTTTTCCACATGGATTTTATAATTCAGGGGTCAGTTTCTTGTCCATATGAAAAAATTTGAAATACCAATTATAACTGTGGCCATTCTGCTCTGTTTTACTTTTTCTGAAGACCATTATTCAATAAAGGAAAATTAACTTTTAGTATCAAAGTATCTTCACGGTCAAAATGCCTTGCTAACTAAACTCTCACCCTCCTGCATGGCCTGGCCACCCCCTAAATCTGTTACCCCTTAAGCACCCACGGGGAACTCACAGTTGGAAACCCAGGGCAAAAACTAGGGCAACCTGCACTGGCATTCAGAGGTCGTGATATCTGGTCGGCTCCTGATGAACTGTCTGGGGCTCGGTACAGGACACAATGTGTGGGCTGGGCGGGGATGGAACCCAAGACAGTGGCTGCTCCAGACCATACCTCCAGGAGGCCTCGCTTCAGCAGGAACATCTGGTCTGCATAGGAGGTGGTCCCTCGGAGGAAACTCTCCACAGCCCGAGCTTGCCAAAACCTGCGACCCAAATATTGGCTCAGGTGGCTAAGGCTGCCCTCTTCTGGGCCGTGTTCAATTCTCCAAGGGGTTGGGAGATGTCTGTTCCCTTTTCATGTACTCAGCATTTACTGAACATCTACCAAGCATCAGGCTTCATCCTGGGCCTGGGGACACAGCAGTGCCCCCATCCTCAGAGAGCCAGCTCAGTGCAGAACTCTTCTATCTGGGTCTGTCTGGAAGGGGCTGTTTCACAAAGAAGGTGACATCTGGGATCGAAGGGCTGGCTCCTGCGAGTCCCCCGTGAAACATACTCTAGGCTGTGCCCTTTCACGAGAATGGGAGGACGTGCAATTGAGGGGCCAGGAATGTGTGTGGGAAGCTGACGAACACGTGCAGACAGGCCGCTGGGCTCACAGACGGCGGGCTGGCCTAGGGAAGTAGTGGCTTATGCTGACTGAGGGACCCAGAGGCACAGCGGGGATCCATGACAGGGAGTTTGGACAAGGCACTGAAGTGACAAAGGCCCATGTGGGCATGACACCTCCTGAGAGCTCACGCCCGGCCCTGATGGAACTCTACCTGTCCACTGACTTCAAGACTCATCTCAGATGTGTCTAAGGACCTCAGAGAAGGTCTTCCTCTACTCACCCAGCCCCCAGCCCTAGCAGCAGGAGGCTCTCCTTTGCTCCTACAGCTGCCGGGCAACTGGCTCCATTCCTTTCCATGCTGCACTGAAACAGCACAGCTCTAGGGAATTCATGGCAGGGCCCGTATCCTAGTTCTCCCACCCATGCGGCACCAGCCCAGAGCAGGCGCTTGGTGAATGCTCGATCACTGTGGGTTGCGGAAGAAGGTTCCACATACCTGCCAAGTCAACACTAGGCAAGATGGCAGTCAAACCACCTCTCCCCAACAGTAACTGTGCTTCAGGCGTGGATGCTGGTGACTAAAGGAGGTATTTCTAACCTCCTGTGGAACACCTGGCTCTGCAGCCCCACAGAATTGGCAGGTACTTGTCCCCAGACCCACCTGAAAGACGACTCTGCTGGCTCCTTCTTCATGACCTGCAGCAGACGAGTTAACAAGCCCCTCTTCCCATCACACACCAAACTCCTGAAATAGAAGAGAGACACTGGTGATCGATCTGAGAGGCTGACGGGGGCCCTGGGGATGGGTCGCTCTGCTGGTTTGGGCGGTGAAAAACTATGGGGACATTTCCAAGTCTGCAGGATGCCTTCCTGCTCCAACCGGGGCCAGAGCCCCGGAGACCCCTTCAATCACAGAATTAACCCGCCAAGTGCATTCCCACCACATCTCAGGCCAGCTTACCTTCCCAGGCCAGAAACATCCCGAATCAGACATGGCTTAGAACTGCCAGAGAAGAGCTGTTTATACCAAAAGTGTACTGACACAGGCACGCCAGGCTGCCAGATGTGGAAAGACTGTGCGAACAGGGTGGGACCCAGCATACTCCTGGCCTGAGGCTCACTTCCAGCTGGCCTTGGGCAAGTACCCACAACCCCAAGCCTCAGTTTCCCAGTCTATGAAGCAAAGGCAGGAGATGAGGACATGACTCAGGCCCCATCATGGGGGAAGGAAGATGGCCAAGCATGCGGGGTCCAGGCCCTTCCAACAGAGCAGCTCTCCTGTGATCCACTACACACATCAGGGCAGGACGGGGTATAATTTTATTTGAATGAAGAGTTCTGCTTGCTGCCTTAGGAAAAAAAGGTTGGGAGGCCAGGAATGGTGGCTCACACCTGTAATTCCAGGACTTAGGGAGTCTCACTTGAGGCCAGAAGTTCGAGGCCAGCCTGGGCAACATAGTGAGATCCCATCTCTACAAAAAAAAGTACAAACACTAGCTGGGCATGGTGGCGCACACCTGTAGTCCCAGCTACTTGGGTTGTTGTGGCTGCAGTGAACTATGATCACACCACTGCTCTGCAGCCTGAGGGAAAGAATAAGACCCTGTGTCTAAAAAACAACAATAACAACAACAACAACAAAAACCAACAAAAAAAGGTTGGGAAATTACGGTTCTTGCTGGATAAAGTCCACTGCATTCTGACGCCTGTGAGACTAGCTCCCCATTGCCTGGCTCCAGGTGAGGCAAACCTAACCCAGGTAATGCAGCTTAACATGTGGCAGTAGGTAAGAGGCTTCTGTCTGTCCTGCTTGGCTGCAGATGCCAACAGGCAAGAAAGGAGCACATAAGCAAAGGGGCTGAATGCACGAGGCAAGGGGGCCAGTGCGGAGCACACAAGACTTTTGGCAGGTGACCTCTCTGAGGCTCTGCCCCCTCATCTGTAAAGTGCAGGGATGGATGGGGCTTCCCTCCTAGGGCTGCTGTGAGGCTCCGATGAGAAAATGCAGGTGACACGAATACAGTGCCTGGCACAGAGGAGCCCTCAGGACACTGTAGCTACGTGTGAGAGAGGACACGCATGTATACCTGGGTGTGCTCCCCAGTGAGCCCCCAGGGAAGGCGAGCAGCCGGGATGGGCTGAGGGAAAAGCTGCACCCCTGCACTCACCTGTCGGTGTTGAGGACAGCTTCCACCTCAGGAATGTTGGCCTTGAGGGAGATGGCACTGAGTTCGTTCAGCTCCTGGTTGTTGAGTAACAGGTACTTGTTCCTGAAACAAAATGGGTTGGAGGAGGTAAAGGACAGGAACTGGGGCTGCTGGGTCCGCCCCGGGCTACTGCAGGGAGTCTCCTGCCCACTTCCTGCGGAGAGAATCTGAGAAGCCACCAGGCACTTTCTTCCAGCACCTCTCACTCCAGCCAGCACTCGCAGGAGGGAACTCTGGGCTCTCAGGCAGTGGAATCTTTCCCTGGCCCCACTCCCAACCCCCAACCCCTGCTTGCCACATTCACTGACAAGGCCCCTTCCCTCAGCAGCTCCGGGCCTTTCTCTTTGCCTGCACTTTTACTTGTTTCCTCAAAGGCACCAGCACCTCAACATGTCCAATCACACTGAAGCCTGGCCCTGCTGCAGCAGTCCCACCAACCACCACAGTCAGACATCACAGAGGCCTGGTCAACTGTGACACTTCCCCCCGCTTGCCATCCAGGCCTGTCACTGCTCCCTGCGCTCCCAGGACACCAGCTCCCTAAAAGGTATCCCATAGGAACTGAGTCATCACACAGCACCAAAAGTGATCTTCAGAATCAGGACTCTGATCCTGTCACTCCTGGTGAAAATACTTTCACAGCCTCCCACTGCATTTAGAACAGACATTTTCTGACTTAGAAGGGGGTTATGCCCTGATAAACCCGTCGTATTTGAAAATACCGTTAAGGTGAAAACATACTGAGGCTGGACGTGGTGGCTCACGCCTGTAATCCCAGCACTCTGGAAGGTCGAGGCGGGCAGATCACAAGGTCAGGAGTTCTAGACAAGCCTGGTCAACATGGCGAAACCCCGTCTCTACTAAAAATACAAAAAATTAGCTGGGTGTGGTGGCGCATGCCTATAATCCCAGCTACTCAGGAGGCTGAGCTAGGAGAATTGCTTGAAACCAGAAGGTGGAGGTTGCAGTGAACCAAGATCATGCCACTGAACTCCAGCCTGGGCAACAGAGCAAGATTCCGTCTTGAAAAAAAGAAAAAAAAAACAAACACATTTAATGTATCTAACCTACTGAACCTCCTAGCTTAGCCCAGCCTACCTGGAATGTGCTCAGAACACTGACTTCAGCCTACAGTTGGCCATAAACACTGGCAACATGGCGGGCACAGCACAGAGTACTGGTTGTCTACCTTGGTGACCACATAGCTGGTCATCATTTTTCTTGAAATACATTTGAGCTGCAGCTGCAGCTCAGCGCCCAGCATTGCAAGAGTACTGAACTGTTTATTATGAGCGCAGGAAAAGATCAAAATTCAAAATTCGACTTCTGTACCATTGTACAGTTGAAAAATTCTAAGTGATGGACCATCTGTATATAAAATCCAGGCCTGTGACTGTGACCCACAAGGCCCTGTGCAGCCAGCCCAGAGCCAAGCCCACGTCACTCCCATCAGCTGGCCACAATGGTCTTCCCTTGTTCAGGGGCTTCTGGCTAGAACACTCACCCTCTCACATGCCTGTTCACTCAATTCACTACAAGCCGACCCTTCAGGTCTTGGCTGACAAGCCACTTCGGCAAGGGAGAGTTCCTGAGCATCCTCTGGCCAGTTCCGTACCCTCTCAAATGTCCTCTCACAGACCCATTCCTCTCCTCCTGAATACCATCTCCACTCATCACTAATGCTCAACGGTGGAATCCTCGGATGAACAACTGTCTTTGTTTTCAGACTCTGCCCTTCATGAGAGCAGGGGCCATGGCTGTTTGCATTTCGTCCTGATATCCCACAGAGTACTCAGATTGAAGAGTCCGATGAAAGCCAAAGACTCACTTCCTCAGGGAAAACAGCGCAGTTCCATAACATATGTGGTGCCATTTTTCAGGTTAACATGCTTCCTGGAGCCCTTCTATGGCTTTCAGCCAGAAAATCTCTCAAAGAGGACGGGTGCATATGACGGAGGTGCCCTGGGGCCACAGCTGTCTCCAGGCATGTTCTGTTAGCTCAAATGCAAGGTTTTTAAAAAATTTAAACCAACATTTAAAATCAGGACCTTTCACATAAATCTTAATTTCTGGCTTTCCTTGGCCGAAAACATCAGAAGTTATGCAACAGTGGGCCCAGTTTCCTGTGCACACACAGCTGGCTGGAGCTAAGCTCACTGAAATTCTCGCTCACTAAGGTCCCCACATCATCTCCCCAATGGCAAGGCCAAGGGTCAGCTGCTAGTCACCCCCTTCCTGCACTGTTTTCCTTACAGCAGAGAGTAATTTTCCTCGTACATTCTCCATCGAAGGTTAAAAAATAAATGAGCACAGAATGTCTTTCAAGAAAAACGGGAGCACACCTCCTCGTGGAGGGAAGAATCCCCAGCTGCTCAGTAAGCAGCTGGCTTTGCCTGTCTGAGGTTCCTGCCGGCTCCTGGGAATAGCCACGCTGTCCACTCTTGCTTCAGAGGGGCAGCAGGTTGAGAGGTCCATTGATTCCAAAGGTAATAAGGGGCCAATGACTTCCATACTCAGTTCCTGGGGTAGCTATGAGGGCTAGAAGCAAGCTCAGGGGCAGTCCCTGCCATAAGAAAGGCTGGATAGATGGCAGGTCTGACTGCAGTGTCACACCTGCTACCACTGAGGGGACAGCGGGCTTCCACCAGCTCTAGGGCCTCCTCTCGAGCCGAGGTCACGGACCAAAGAGACTGAGGCCTTCAAAAGACAGTCCAACAACTCTCCTTGCAGGGACACACTTGTACTTACTCGTGGTGGTCGCTGAAGCTCTGAAGAAGCCTCAAAAACTGTATCTTCAAGGTGATGTCCTGAAACACACGCACAGCCTCAATGTTAAGACCACAGTCACAAGTTCCAAAACACCACAGACAGACACCCTGGTGAGAGCCTGCTTCTCTGAGCCTCTGTCCTCATGCACCATGAGGACCTTTCTTTAGTTAGAAAACCATCTGTTCACTTCCACATCTGATCAACAGCAGATTAAGCTAATGTGGCCCCCTTCCTGCTAAAAACATGCCAGTACACTCAAAAAAAAATAAGGTGGGGCGTGGTGGCTCACACCTATAATCACAGCACTTTGGGAGGCCGAGGCGGGCAGACCACTTGAGGTCAGGAGCTTGAGACCAGCCTGGGCAACATGGCAAACCCTGCCTCTACTAAAAATACAAAAATTAGCCAGGCATGGTTGCTGCGCCTATAATTCTGGCTACTTAGGAGGCTGAGGCAGGAGAATCACTTGAACCTGGGAGGTAGAGGTTGCAGTGAGCCCAGATCACACCACTGACTGCACTCCAGCCTGGGTGATGGAGACTCTGTCCCAAAAAACAAACAAACAAACAAACAAACAAAACGTGTGGGGAGGAGGGGGGGAAGTCCACAGGAATCAGAAATGAAGAAAGGACCGAGGAGTTTGGAGTCGTGAGCCAAGGAACTGATACTCAGCAGCTGAGGGCAGTGTGGAGCGGTGGCGAAAAGACCTAGTCACACTAATGCTTGGGTTTTAATGCCCTGCAGGGACCAGACAGGGTCTCAGGTTCCTGTAAAGCCTGGGGAGCATGTACACTTGGCGAGAGAAGGGTTAGAAAGGCCTGACCCACCAGCCCAGGGAGCCTGGCTCTGCCAGGGTGCTGCTGGCGGGGGAAGGGAGCCCTCCCAAGAGCAGCAGAAACCCTGCGCTCACACGACTGGGGCAGCAGGGCCAAGACCTGAAACATGAAAACTGCCCTGGGACAGCTGTACCTGACATACCTGGCAGACAAAAGCAAAAGTGCCCTGTAGAAACGCCTCCAGGGCTGAGGCTACACAGGTACCCATGGGGCAAACTAGCCCCACTGACCTCAAGTGATCCGTCCGCCTTGGCCTCTCAAAGTGCTGGGATTACGGGTGTGAGCCACCGCGCCCGGGAGCACGGTTCTATAAGCAGATGAAAATTACAATAGGATAAAACAGCAAATAAAAAAGCATGCTGCTAGCTCATGCAGTGGGCAGCCCCCTGCCTGGAGTGAAATGAGATCCCCATCACAGAGGTGTACAAGGGGAAGTTGGCTAGAGGGCCTCAGGCAGGAACTTTTTTTTTTTTTTTTTTTTTTTTGTGAGACACAGTCTCACTCTGTTGCCCAGGCTGGAGTGCAGTGGCGTGATTTCAGCTCAGTGCAACCTCCGTCTCCTGGGTTCAAGTAATTCTGGTGGCCTCTCCATAGACATTACAAAACACGAGGTAACACTCCACCCTGAGGTCTGAAGACTCAAACACAAGCATTAGTACCCCATGAGCAATCGAAAGAGACCTTAAGAAAGTATTTTAAAAATGATTAAAAACAGAATATGCAGCAGAAAAAAGATATTATAACATCATGGCTAAGCAGTTTCCGAACTGAGCCAGACAGAACATCTAGAAATGCAAAATATATCTGCCTGAAATTAAAAACTCAAATGATAAAGCAGAAGACAGGTCACTGAGGAAAGTCCCCAGAGTGCAGTAAAGAGATCAGGGCCCCATGGCACCGGGCCCTGATGGCTGTGTGGCACTTTTAGGTCCCAGAGCACCTTCCTTCTCATGCTGGTCAAAAGGTTGTGAACTAGCCGGGGGGCCAATAGGGGAAAGAGTATTATCCTCCTTTGGCAAGAAAAGAGGCTCAGAGATTCAGTGATACATTCAAGCTCTTACAAGTCTTCCAATGTCCTGTTCAGAGCTCTCTCAAGGGTACTGTGAAAGACACAAGGTAAAGGAGAGTCCTTGGGCTCAAAAAAACAAATCCCCCTTTTTGGTATGAGACAGTGTCTTTGCTCTGTCACCCAGGCTGGAGTGCAGTGGCGCGATCCAAGCTCACTGCAACCTCCACCTCCCGAGTTCAAGCGATTCTCCCACCTCAGCCCCGAGTAGCAGGGATTACAGGTGCCCACCAACACGCCCGGTTAATTTTTGTATTTTTAGTAGAGACGGGGGTTTCACCATGTTGGCCAGGCTGGTCTCGAACTCCTGACCTCAAGTGATCTGCCCGTCTTGGCCTCTCAAAGTGCTGGGATTACGGGTGTGAGCCACCGCGCCCGGGAGCACGGTTCTACAGGTGGATGAAAATTACAATAGGATAAAACAGCAAATAAGGAAAAGCACGTTGCTAGCTCATGCAGTGGGCAGCCCCCTGCCTGGAGTGAAATGAGATCCCCACCACAGAGGTGTACAAGGGGAAGTTGGCTAGAGGGCCTCAGGCAGGAACTCTTTTTTTTTTTTTTGAGACACAGTCTCACTCTGTTGCCCAGGCTGGAGTGCAATGGCGTGATCTCAGCTCTGTGCAACCTCCGCCTCCTGGGTTCAAGCAATTCTGGTGCCTCAGCCTCCCAAAGAGTTGTGATTACAGGCACCCAACACCATACTTGGCCAGGCCGGTCTGTAACTCTTGACCTCAAGTGATCTGCCCACTCAGCCTCCCAAAGTGCTGGGATTACAGGCATGTGCACTGTGCCCGGCCTAGGAACATCTTAAAAGGGATTTCTGCATAGGCTGGGGTGGGGAGTGGGGTTCACTCAGATCCTACTCCAAGGTAGCTTCCAATTAGGGGACTATAAAATACAATTTTAGTCTCTGCTCTACTCCCAAAGGAAAAAAGGTCAAAGGGTCAGCAGCAGGTCTTGAAACAACTACTCCAAGCCAGTGAGGCACCATCTGTCTGTCCCCAGGGGTCTCCTGCTTACCGGGCTACAGTCACAGTTCTGGTTGTGACCATGGAGGACAAGAGCAGATGCTGAATGCTTCCTCCAAATCAGTTTGTCAAACAGATTATTAAGTCCGGGGATCAGCTTGAACTCTGCAATCATTCTGTGAACCTGGACAGGATAGGAAGGAAAAAGTATTAATTAAGACAAATGTGCTTGAAAAATCTAGCAAAACCTCGTGCTCAGTACACACGATAATGACATTCAGGACGAAGAAAGCAACTAACTGTCAGTAAGGAGTGCTGGGGTTTGAAGAAAACATCCATGTATCCCCTACACCTACCACACACAAACACACTTTCTAACTTTGCTCATTAATGCTCACAATAATCCTACAAGTCATAATGTATGATAGTTCCTATCACAGAAGCATAAGTTTAGGATTCAGATAGTATGATTCAAGAGTCCTTTGGGATTCAAGAGTCCTGGGTTTGACTCTTAGCTTTACCATGTGCAAACTTTGTAACCTTAAACAAATTCCTTAAGATTTGTCTCCTCATATTAACATGAAAATGTCCCTCATGCTTTGCACTAGGATAAATTTCAGCTGAAAGTAAGATACGATTATTAAAACACTCTAAGATCCAGAAAAATCTCTGCAAAGAATTTAAAAAAAATGATCTAAGAGTTGGAAAAGCCTTTCTGAAGAATCACACTAAACCTAGAAGCTCAAAAAGAAGCTTGTTGACATCAACCACCCAAACCTTTTAAAATTCTGAATGGCAAAACTCAAAATAAGCGAAGTCACAAGCCAAATATGACAAAAACAGAACAGACATTGGCAATTCATGCCACAAGCAAAGAAATTCCTCTATAAGGAGTCCTACAAACATCTGATTTTTCACTCTTTCAGACTGGGAAAGATGACAAAGCTTTAAAAGAACATGTTGGTGACCTGGGCATCAGGTACATTCACACGCTGTTGGTGGGAGGGCACACTGTTACGACCTGCACAGGGAAGAGGGTTTCACAGTAACTCTAAAATTTCAAATCCATAATCCCTTTAACCAGCAATTCCACTTTAGGAATTTACATTCAGATCCATATAAATACTAAATGACACATATTTACAATGCTACTCACTGCAGCATTATTTATAATGCCCCAAAATAGATATAACCTACACTTCCATCAACAGAGATTAGCAAAATAAATTATGGTATGCCACTCAATGGGATATAAGGCACCAGTAAAAAAGAATCAAGGTGTTTTGTATGTCGTGAACTTAACAACTGCCGAGAGATAATACTGGGAAAGCAAGTACGTTCATGCTATATTACTGTGTAAAAAAAAGAGGAATACAATTCGCCTTTGTAAGCATAAAAATGTCTCTAGAAGGATACACTAATAACTGGTAAAATTAGCTGCTTCATGGAACCATCAGAATGTCAATGATCAGAGGGGAAACAGGCTTCATTGATACTAACTTAAATCTTTTAAAACAGAACTACAGGAATGATTTCCCTTTTAAAATTTGTTTATATAACGTAAGGCTATTACTAGCCCTTCTCGGGGCTGTTGTAAGGATCAAGTCAGAAAGCACATGTAAAGCTCTGCACACAGCACCACTGCTCGCTTATTGCCATTTTACAAGGCGGAGAAGTTCAGCAAGACCAGCCTGGGCAAGGTCAGTGATTGCAACAGCACCTAACTCAGGTGTTCTGATCCTAAAGTCTGCCCCTTTCCAGCCCACTACAGGTATGCATTTATCTTGGGAGACCAGAACCTGACAAAGACATTCCTGGCAGCCTCCATTCCAATGGACCTCTCCTTTCAACATATTAGGTTGTGTAAAAGTAACTGTGGGTTTTGCCACTGAAAGTAATGGAGGTGACTATTCTCTTTCTACTAGAAATCACAGCCTACTAGAAATTTCTACATAATTTCTACTAGAAATTATGGCCAGTGTTAGACTCATAAGCAGCCCAGAACCTGTTAAGACTGAGGCTGATGTAAAATGACACCTGCTGTGCCACTCAGGCCTTTACTAAAATCCAGCCTGGGTCTACCTTGCCCTGCTTAACTGGGGTTGGGGAGGTACGGCTGACATCTATGGTGTTTACCAAGCCATGTGCCTTCCTGTCTCACTCAAAGGGCCCTAAGCCAGGCCCAGGTCACACAGCTATAAAACGTTGCAACAATGGCCCACAAAAATTCATCCAGTGCAATTGCCTCACTGCACAGACTAGAAACCCAAGCTTAAAGAGATTAGGGGTGAGTCACACAGCTGGGAAGAGAGGGGCCTTCTGAGGCAGACTTGGACCTGACCCTGGGTCTCCTAAGTTCAGGCCAGTATTTAGGTTTGAGGTTTCTCCTACATCATTTCCCTTTTCTCTTAACAATACCAGCTTCTCAGCCAGGCATGGTGGCTCACGCCTGTAATCCCAGCACTTTGGGAGGCCAAGATGGGCAGATCACCTGAGCTCAGGATTTCGAGACCAGCCTGGGCAATATGGTGAAGCCCTGTCTCTACTAAAAATACAGAAATTAGGGCCGGGCATGGTGGCTTACATCTGTAATCCTAGCACTTTGGGAGGACAAGGCGGGTGGATCACTTGAGGTCAGGAGTTTCAGATCAGCCTGGCCAACATGGTGAAACCCCGTCTCTACTAAAAATACAAAAATTAGCCGGGTGTGCTGGCGCATGCCTGTAGTCCCAGCTACTCAAGAAGCTGAGGCAGGAGAATTGCTTGAACCTGGGAGGCGGAGGTTGCAGTGAGCAGAAATTGCGCTCCAGCCTGAGTGACAGGGAGACTCCATTTCAAAAACAAAAACAAAATACAAAAATTAGCCAGGCATGGTGGTGTGTGCCTGTAACCCCAGCTACTTGGAGGGCTGAGGCAGGAGGATCGCTTGAGCCCGGGAGGCAGAGGTTGCAGTGAGCTGAGATCACGCCACTGCACCGCTCCAGCCTGGGTAGCAGAGCAAGACTAACTCAAAAAAAGGAAAAAAAAAAAAAAAAAAAAAAAAAGGAAGAAAGAAAATAGCAGCTTCTTCACGTGTAAAATTTGTAAAACAAATTTTACTTGTAGAATGCATTATTCCTACTCTCAGGTCCAGCCCCGTGGCCTGCTCTATAGGAGGATGGTGGGCAGGTGGGTGAGATGAAGTGCCACTCTACCTGAGGAGGCAGTGGCTAAGAGCTCAGGCTTCGCAGTCAGCAAGCCCTGGGTTCATAAGACAGCTCTGTGACCCTCGGCAACATTCTTTGAGCTCAAGTCCCTTGACAGAAAAGGCGATGGGGGACGATGGAGCTGTTGAAAAGGCTCAGTGAGGTAATGTGGAAGCTACTCAGGGCTTGAAGAAATGACTAAAAGAAACGACTGCTATATGGATGATTTTCATTAGCACCAGAGGGACGAAACTTGACAGCATTTGGGGAGCCTTTCCAGTCTTGAGATTTCAATTTGGCCAAGATTGGTCAGAGAACTTGGCCCAACTGCCCATTAACAATAAGGCCTCTTTAAGGAAGAAGCCTTCTGTGAGGCCTGGCCAAGGAAATCCTTTCCCTTGCTACCCAGTGTAGGCAGGATCTGGGAATCCATATCCTCATGGTGCCCGGCACACAGCAGAAACCCAGGAAATGCTGACTGTGCAAATGAGAACATGCTAGTGAAAGTGATTTTGGGGGGCCAGGATTTCAAGGTCACTAATGGTCCCTTCCCAAGGAAGCAGCGCTGTAATCATACAGTTTAACTCAAGACTGCAACGACTCATAGCAATGTGGAAACAAGAAGGCTCAGGGAACAGAGAACTGTTGTGAGATGGCAGACAGAGGAGGCAGGGCAGCAGAGTTTAAATTCTGGCTCTGTCCAGGCCTGTCCCCGAGAGCACAGCCTAGTTTATGCCCTGGCTTTCTCAAGAATCGAGTGTGGGGACACACAGTCACCACCTGTTGTGTAACTTACTAAATACCTGAAAATTCAAACAACTGTGAAAGTGCCTCGAAAAAGTAATAGCACTCAATACATAAAAGCTGTCCCTACAATTATTTCAAATATAAATAACTGTGAAAGTGCCTCAAAAAAGTAATAGCACTCAACGCATAAAAGTTGTCCCTACAATTATTTTTTATAAAAAACATGTTCCATATTGAAGGAAGGGACACCAATGCTGTGGCTATCAGTGTGGGATCTCATCCAGTGTCCTGATTTTAAATACAACCATATGCTGAGGACTCCCAAAGTGACACCTCCAGCCTTGCCATCTCCCCAACAGCAGCTGTAGGTAATCAATCCAAGTGCCAATTCCATCAGACACCTCAAATCTACCTTGTACAAAACGCAGCTCACCATCTTCCTAAGCCTGCTCCTCCACCCCTTACCTGCTGGTCTTAACCATCTCAACACATGGCAAATCCATTCTCCTATTTGCTTAGTTCACATTCAAATGTATCCAGAATGCAACCACTTCCCACCAGTCCCAACACCAATACGCTGGTCCTAGCTGCTATCATCTCTTGGCCCTATTATGAGGGCCCCTAATGGTCACCCTATTCCCTTCCTTGCTGTTTCCAGTCTTTCCCAAAGCAGTCAGAGGAATGACTTCTCACTTCACGCGGAGTAAAAACCAAAGTCTTTAAAATGGCCTGTGACAGCCTGACGTGACCTGGTCCCTGCGAGCCCTCAGCCTTCCTCTCCTAGCTGTTTTCTCCAGGCCGTCCCCCAGCTGCCTCACTGTTCCAGTGACTACGCACACTCCTCCCCAGGGCACTGCCCTGTCCCACCTGCTACACTCTTTCATTCTCTTCCAGACGTTTTCATCCTCACTTGTAAAATGGGGGTAACTGCACTGCTGTTGCCCAGACTTGTGACAGTCCAGTGTCTGACTCAGAAAGGTGTGGAAGGACTGCTAAGACCCCAGCCTCTCCTGGCCCCATGCCTGGTTTCCTCCCTAGGAGAAGGGCGTGGTCTGCAGGCTACTTCTCAACAGTCTTGAGGAGGAGGGCTGCACTGTTCCAAGCCCTTTTTCCTCTACTGTAGCTTATGGGCCCTTCCTCCTCCATCTTGGAACTACTTCAAGACTCAGGGAAGCCCTGCACATCTGGAGCCCCTGTACTTGCCCAGTTTTCCTAAGCAGACATAGCTCTGGGCTCTGTCCCATTGCCCTGAGCCCACATCAGGTTGGCAGCTCCTCCAGCACATCCACAGGGCCAGTCTTGCCAGTTTTCAACCCTTTAATCTTCACCTCACAGAGGCAACTGCCTGCTCCTGCCCTGAGCACCAACCAGGAATGCCTAGAAACGCTCCACACAGCAACGCACCATGGAAAGACTCCGGTTCTGGAATCAGCCTGGTTTCCTGATGGGTAGAACAGTAGGAGAAATACCCCTATGCTCTGCCAGCCTAGAGCAAGAGCCATTCCAACAGAAGGCCCTGTGGAGCACCTGGCATACCATGAGCGCCCGGGCAGCACCTGCTCCCTGTGTCCTGAGACGCTGGAGAGGGGCCCACCTGGTTTCGCTGACGCCCCATCAGCAGCACGCAGAGGACATAGAGCACTTCCAGTTTGTACATGATCTCATGCATAATCTTCATTGACTGGGGCAGCTGGGTCCTGGCTGACGTGTGAGGCAGGCCATTCTCCTCAGAAGCCCCTGGAGGAGGGAACACAATGGAGGCTGACACAGCCACCGGAGAGAGGATTGAGTCACGGCTTGTGAGGAAACACATTTCTGTCCCTCGAACCTGCTCTGAACAGACTTGTAGCATAGCCATTCAGCTGGGCCTTGAGCCTGAACAGAGACCCTGAAAGCTGCAAAACTCCCTCCACACCCCCAGGAGCCAGGTAAGCTCAGAGACTCAGAAAAATGGACTCTGCAGTAGTTGTATCTCATCTACTTTTACATGAAGTAAAAATATTCGGACACAGCCAACACAGTAACATGACCCATCCCTCCCTGCTTATCCCCTTCTCCTGCCACCAACCAGACCCCCAGAAAGTGCCCACGCAGATGTCTGACAGCAAATTATGGGGACTGCTCTTCAAGTCGCAAATGGCCCTGCTTGCTTGGTTCTACTGAGATTCCATAAGGGACACTGTGGAAGCCCGAGAGGGATTCTTTTTGAAGAATTTCCTCTTTTTCAAAAGAACCATCTAAATTTTTCTAAGGTTCAACTTTCTAAAGCAGACTGGGTATCACAACTGATGCTACTGATGCAGATGAACACACTATCTACAGGCAGACTTTCATTTTACCCAATGTCATTACTGCTAACATCAACAGCAGCTAAGTAATATTTACTGGATACCTGACATGTGTCAAGACTTGCTGGCTTTATGACTTTGGGCCAGTCCCCTCCTCACTAGGCCTTAGACTGCTCTGTACTACTGCAGCGGACAGCTAGAGTTACTGTGAAGACTGAATGGGAACATAAGAGAAGCCCAGCATCTGATTCTTAGGAAGCCCCCATTCACTCCTAGATCCTTTATTTATGTATGTATTTATTTACTTACTTACTTACTTACAGTCTGGCTGTGTCACCCAGGCTGGAATGCAGTTGTGCGATCCGGCTCACTGCAACCTCCGCTTCCTGGTTTTAAGCAAGTCTCCTGCCTCAGCCTCCCGAGTAGCTGGGAATACAGGCGCATGCCACCATGCCCAGCTAATTTTTCTATTTTTAGTAGAGATGCGGTTTCACCACGTTGGCTGGGCTGGTCTCGAACTCCTGACCTCAAGTGCTCTGCCCGCCTTGGCCTCCCAAAGTGCTGGGATTACAGGGGTGAGCCACTGTGCCCGGCCCAGATCCCTATTATTTTAAAAGGGCATCGGTCAAGAGTCAGGAGAGGCTAGGTGATCTCAGCAAAGTGACTTCCCTTCAGTTTCCTCATTGTTAAGGTGAAAAGATGAATCAATAACTGCCATGGTCCTCTCAAGCTCCTATAGGAACTGTTTCCCTAGAGGCCTTTTGCAAAGGCCTCTATGTGGTATAGAGGAGCGGTTATCAGATATATTCAGGTAAGGCTCATACAGAAAACACAGTGATACTCTGCAAAGTATCAAGACAGAAGAATCTAACTTATTCTGACCAGGCGTGGTGGCTCATGCCTATGATCCCAGGACTTTAGGAGGCCAAGGCAGGTGGACTGCTTGAGCCTAGGAGTTTGAGACCAGCCTGGACAATACAGTGAGACCTCATCTCTATAAAAAAATTTAAAAAATTAGCTGGGCATGGTGGCATGTGCCTGTAGTCCCAGCTACTGAAGAGGGAGAGGTGGGAGGATTGCTTGAGCCTGGAAGGTGAAGGTTGTAATGAACCAACAGATATCGTGCCACTGTACTCCAGCCTGGACAACAGGGCTGAACCCTGTCTCCAAAAAAGAAAAAAAAAAAAAAAAAAAAGAGAGAATCTAACTTACTCTATCCTACAGACTTGGAACTACTTTTCCCAGCCATGTTATGTTAAAATCACAACCCTGGAAGACGACAAGCTGCTGAATGAAGCGTGACTGAGACACAGCGTGGCACGGTAGTTACGAGAAGAGACCCTGAAGCCAGACTACTGGGTTTGAACCCCAATCACTAACTGGGTGGTCTTCAGTAAATCAGTGGACCTCTCATGCTTCAGTATCCATCCTCCTTTGTAAAACAGCAATACTGACAACCATACCCACCCTTTAACATTGTAAGGAGTACGGGAATATATTGAAGGTGCCTGAAACAATGCCCGAAGTAAGCAACATACAATTAGAAACTAAATATAAGTTCTCAGAAAACTGAGTTTTATCTGCTAATGCTTGCTTGCTACTTTGTATTCTTCTTTTTCATCTCCAAGCTTTTAATGGGAACTAAACAGGTAGGAGACAAAGACTCAGGAAAAATTTACTGGAGAAATTTTTAATTTAAGAGATTCTATCTACTCATATTTATTCTCCTGTACCTTGGGCAAAAAACTATAGTTACTCAATTTCCACGTTAGGACTCCTTGGCCCAGCTTCCAGAACAGTTAAGTGTCGGCTAATCTGTGAAGTGAACCTGAAGAACTATCACGCAGAATCCTGCCTCTGTCGTGCACTGCTGTGTGACCTTGCATGCTTGGCATCCTCAGCAGCCAGCCCATGGTGCTCTAGGGAGTCCTGCAGGGAAGGATGTTTATGGAAGCAGTGGTCACAGTGTGGGGCACACAAGTCCTACTGAGAAACAAACATCTGCGAAGCAAGAGACAGGGCAGCCTGACACCTCTCCAAGTCACCACCAACTTTTGGTGCCTGGCTTGTACAGGCCTGACAGACTTTCTGGAATATTTTCAAGAAACAGTCTCCAAAGCAATGGAGAGCTTAGCAACAAGGACAGTCCCAAGGATGAAGATGGGAAAACCAGCTCACAAGGCCTGTGCTTCCCTCCGAGTCTCTTCAGCTCTACCAGGCCGATTGGAGCAGTCACCACTCTCTCTCTCTCTGCACTGCACTCCGTTTTCTGCGGGCATGCACGCTCATTTGTTTTCTTTTTTTAACAGCTTGGAGGTACAATTCACATACCATGCAATTCATCCATTTAATTAACCATATCATGATTTTTAGGATATTCATAGAGTTGTGCAGCCATTACCACTTTTAGAGTATCTTCATCACCCCCTGAAATCTGCCTTGTACTCACTACCAGTCACTTCCTATTTCCCACCAAACCCCTTAGCTCTAGGCAACCATGAAACTGTTTTCCGTCTCTAGGTAACTGCCTATTCAGGACACTTCATATTAATGCACTCATGCAATATGCCGTCTTTTGTGACTGCTTCTTTCACCTAGTACAATGTTTTCAGGGTTTATCTATGTCGTGGCACCGATCAGCATTCCCTTTTTTTAACTGCTGAATAACACCCGCTAGTATAAATATGCCACATTCTGGCTTGGCACAGTGGCTCACGCCTGTGATTCCAGCACTCTGGGAGACCAAGACGGGAAGATCGTTTGAGTGCAGGAGTTTGAGACCAGGTTGGGCAACACAGCAAGACTCTGTCTCTTTTATTACAAAAAATAAAAAAATTAGCTGGGTGTGGTGGTGTGCACCTGTGTTTCCAGCTACTTGGGAGGCTGAGGTGTGAGGATGGCTAAGCCTGGCAGGTCAGGGCTGCAATGAGTGCAATGAGCTGTGATCACACCACCGCACTGTAGCCTAGGTGACAAAGCTAGACCCTGTCTCCAAAAAAAATAAATAAATAAGAATATACCATATCCTGTTTATTAATTCATCGGGTGACAGTCATTTGCGTTGTTTCCATTATTTTGGCCGTTATGAATATGCTGTGATGAACATTCCTGAAAAAGTTTTTGAGTAACACGTATTTTCATTTATCTTGGATATATACCTGGAAGTAGGATTTCTGGGCCCTATGACATAACTGTATGTTAACCTTCTGAGGAACTGCTAGACTGTAGAGTGGCGGCACTATTCTACATGCCCACTAATAGTGAATGTGGGTTCTGATTTCTCCCTATTCTTGCCAACCCTTATTATCCACCTTTTTTGATAACCACTCGAGTGACTATGAAGTACTGTATCATTGTGGGGTTTGTTTTTTCCTTTATCACCTAGACTGAAGTGCAGTGGCAAGACCACAGCTCACTGCAGCCTTGAACTCTGGACCTAAACAATCCTCCCACCTCAGCCTCCCAAGTTGCCAGGACTACTATGGGCACATGCCACCATGCCCGGCTAACCAAAAAACTTTTTTTTTTTTTTTTTTTTTTTTTTGGTAGAGACGAGGTCTTGCTCTGTTGTTCGAGTTGGTCTTGGACAATCTTCCTGCCTTGGCCTCCCCCGAAGTGTTGGGATTACGGTGCCAGCCACTGTGCCTGGCCTCACTGTGGTTTTGATTTTCATTTCCCTGATGGCTAATGATGGTGAACATTTTTCACGTGCTTAATAATTATTTGTATATCTTCTTTGGAGAGATGTCTATTCAGATCCTTTGTCTATATTTTGAAATGGGTTGTCTTTTTATTATTGAGTTATGGGAGTTCTTTATACATTCTAGATACAAATCCCTTATTAGATATATGATTTGCAAAAATGTCCCAACCCTGTATTCCCCACAAAAACATTCTTCCATGCTGTGTGTTCTCTTTTCACTTTCCTGATAGTGTTTTTTGAAGAACAAAAAGTTTTAACTTTGATGAAGTCCAATCTATTATTTACCTGGTTGCCTGTGCTTCAGATGTCATTGTGTATGACATCTAAATTGTTAAATCCAAGGTCATGAAGCTTTATCCTTATGTTTTCTTCTAAGGTTTTATAAGTTTAGCTCTTTTATTTATGTCTTTGACCCTTTTAATTTTGTGTATGACATGAGGCAGGGGATCTAACTTCATTCTTTTGCATGTGGACATCAAATGGTCCCAGTACCATTTGTTGAAAAGACTACTACTGTTTCCACCAACGAATGGTCTTGGTACCCGTTGAAAATCAATTGATCACAATAAGCATGAGGGTTTATTTTTGAACTCTCAACTCTGATCAATATGTCTATCCTCAGGCCGGCAGCACAGTGTTGACTGCAGCTTTGTAGTAAGTTTTCAAGTCAGGACATGAGTTCTCTTAGTTTTTTTTTTTTTTTTAAAGAGTCTCGCTGTCACCCAGGCTGGAGTACAGTGGCACGATCACAGGTTACTGCAGCCTCAAAC